AACTTAATCATCAGGCTATATCTAGTGGCATGGAATATTGGAAAATGTATTTTTTAATCTGGGCACATTGTTATCCAGAATAAAATAGGGATTCTATTATTAAAGGGAAGAGAAGAGGTATTGAGTGGCAACTTGCAGTCTGTGCCACATTTATAATGCTATATTTGATGATTTTGTGGGAAATGTTATGCAGTCATTAAAAATAAAAAATAGGCTATGCCAATTGACTTGGGGGGAGGGGTTTCCACAAAGATTGTTGGATAAGAAAATTAAAGTACATATAAGTGATAAAATATAATCCTATTTTTGCATAATAAAAAGTGACAAAAATCTCTATATATGTACATGCGTGTGTGTGTGTGTTTCTTGATACACAACAAGTATATCTAATTGTATTCTTCTGTAATTTCTTCCATACGTGAATATGGAAAAAATTGCAGAATAATACTACTAGGTTGTTAATGTGGCTTATAGGGGCAAAGGGAGAGGGGATAAACACATCTTTGTATCCTTCCATTGTTCCACTTATTATAACAGGCATGTGTTATTTTTCTATTTGAAAAACATTACAGTGTTTTTTCTAAAATGTGACAGCCTCCAGCTCCAATCTTCATAACACATTTTACTATATATGAAAATTCACAGGAAGCCAGTTCACTATAGAATCTATCCTAGGAGATCTTAGTGAAGAATTTAGTAGGACCCTGTGATGGTTAAGATTGTGTGTCAACTTGGCTGAGCCATGATTCTAGTGTTTATATGTGATCACTCCCATGATGGGATCTGCTGTGAGTAGCCAATCAGCTGAAAGAGTTCCCTTGGGTGTGTGGCCTACATATGAATATAAGTGGATGTTCTGACTTTTGCCTGCTCTGGATCCTGCAGCTGCCTCCTGTTCTTCTGACCTCCGGTTCTTGGGACTTAAGCCAGCAGCTCACCTGCCAATCTTGGGATTTGTTGATTTTCACAGCCAGTGAGCAAGAGCCCTGCTCTCTGACCTGCTGATCTTGGGTTCGTCAGCCCTTGCAGCTACGTGACTCAGGAGAAGCCTTGTGGTCTTGCCTGCCGATCTTGGGATTCATCAGTCTTCACAGTCCGTGAACAAAAGCCCTACTCTCCAACCTGCCCATCTTGGGTTCACCAGACAGCTACATGAATCAGGAGAAGCCTCTATCCTGATCCATGGGCTTAGGATGTTCCAGCCTCTACAATCACATAAGCCATTTCCTTGATATGAATTTCTTTATATATTTATACACTTTACTGGTTTTGTGTCTCTAGAGAACCCAGCTTAAGACAGAGCCCAAAATGAAGCAGGTTTACCTAAATTTTTAACAAAAATTGTTTATTTAGAGAGTATTCTAGCTAGAAAGCATTAAGAAGAACATTGTATTCTTTTTGAGCAAATGAATGCTAACAAATGTTTATATTTCAATATGAATATAAGCAGAATAATATCATAATAGATGTTTTTGCTAAATTATCTAGTATATTAGCATTGATGAAATTAAACAACCTTTATGATTTGCATTTAACATGTAGTAAGTTCCATTTAGGCCATGAATCTTTCAAGAAAAAGTCTTATTTGGGAATAAGTCACACCTAGTGAGAATAAGTCACTCATGTCAATTTGGCTTCATCAAAATTTCATAAAGAAAAAGAAAAAAAAATTAAAATCAGGTACAACATCCCATTATAAATTATATTCGATCCAAACATAATAGAAAATATGAAGAGTATGAAAAACTAAAGGAAAATAAATTAATCCCCTATCCACCTCATGTCTATTTGGCATGGAACACGTCCAATATAGTGACCTCAGAAAAAAGCCAGTAGCTAGCAATTCTAACCACCACTCATCTGTCAGCAATTCTAAGACATTATTGTTCCTGCACTGTAAGGTCAAAAACATTTTAATGACTACTAAAAATTTTAATAATAATAATAATAATTTTAAAAATAAAGTTTTATATTTAAACTTATATTCAAATAATAGTTGACTCAGTAACGGCAGTATTTGGCTTCTGCATTGGTTCTGGCCAAATATTGATCTCCAATACTAGGCCATTGGGCATCCAGCTAAAAACTTCTTCAGTGGATCACTTACTAAAAACATCTTATTAGATGAACAGTGGTGCTTTTCTGCAAACAGTCGTACACGGACACTAATGTACATAAGAATGACCTGGGGAGATTGCAGTACATGTCATTTCCTCCCTGAATAGCCCCCCTCTCCCTCAATTCTTGCTCAGGAATGAGCATTTTAAACAAGCACACTAATAACTTTTTTTCCAGGCTCCAGGATTATGCTTTGAGAAACACTACTGTAATAGAAAACTCGGTTTTAAACTTGATAATCACCGGAATAGGCTATCTTCATGTATGTTTAATAAAATAAGGGTTAGGTGTGCAAATTGGCACTGTCATATATATGGAGCTTGGAAATAATTATGCCATAGTTTAGTAAATTTTAAAAAAATGTAGAATATAACTCAAAGCCCCTAGTGCTGCACCACATTTTTCTTAGTACTGAAAAGTGGCCAATGGGATGGAGCTAGTAGATAAATCTGTAAGCCTATTTAAAAATGTTTTGACCGTTCTGCAAGACTGGGGTGGTGTCATTTAGTTAGCAGAGGTATAGTCTGGGTCACGGTTGGCACACATGGGTAAGGAAAGAATTTGAATTGGAAAGCAGCATGCAATTATACCCAAGGTTGGTCCCTGGATCCAACCTTACAATGACTTTCCATGGCTTACAATTCCTACATTTATTTTGAAAAATCCTATTTTCGTGGACAGCCCCGTAAAACCAAATGGGACTAATGAGGTACAGTAGTCCAGTGACAAGGGCCAGAAGGCAGAAGGGGACAAGGAAGCTGGTGATAGGGAACCCAAGGTTGAGTAAGGATATTGTTGATGTGTTGCGAGATTGTTAACCATTGTCATAGGGCAACATTAGTAGTAACTGTTAAATGAGAAACTATTTTGTTCTGTAAGCCTTCACCTTAAGTGAGAATAGCAGCACAACGGAAGAGCGTAGTCAATGTCACTGAACTGTGCATGTAGAAATTTTTGAAATGGTGTGTCTTTGGCTATGTGTATTTTCACCAAAAAAAAAGGTTGAGAAGTTGAAGGATTGACATGTTGTGGGGTTGTTAACCAATGTCATAAAACAATATGTGTACTACTGTTTCATGAGAAACTATTTGTTCTGTAAGCCTTCACCTGAAGTACAATAAAAAAAAAAAAATCCTATTTTCGGTTAAATGAAAGCAGCCATCTAACTGAAATAGTGCTGGGACTCAGGGCAAGGCTAACATTTTAGAAGACGTTAAGTTTCAATTTTATAAACATGTATCTTGAAATAAAATCCAAAATGTAAAAATACATCTCAATCACTTTGTAAATCATTTTTCTGTGTTGGTTCTTTCTCTCAATCTTTAGCCAAAACTAGATCTGGGACAGATTCCAGGCCAGAACAAAAATGACAAAAAAAAAAGCAAAATTCCATACTGCTCATTCTTTGATTTTTGCCTTGAATTGAAGTGAATACTTGGCAGTTAGCCAAGGGGGAACTCGAAATCTTCTGATTCACGCTCCCATTAATCAAACTGACCAAGTAAGTTCTAAAGTCTGCTTTGTACCTTCCTTTTACCAGCCCAGAATGTAGTCTTCCCAAGTCAGAGGCTACAGACGTTAAAGGAGGAAAAAAAACAAAACAAAACAAACAAACCTGTTGCCGTCCAGTCGATTCTGACATAAAAAGGGCCCTTAAAAACAATCTAGCCTTGCCAACAAATTTAACAATTAAGAAACTGAACCCAACTCTCTTGGGGATGCCCAAGTTCAAACAGCTTGGGTTAGTGGCAGAACCAGGGCACAGTTCTGGGATTCTAACTCTTGGAAAATGAAGCATTTGAGAGTGCCTTCCAAGACACTCCGTGTGAGGGACTTAGGATGGCCTTAAGGGGAGCGAGGAATGCAGTATGATGGGATCCTGTCCTGATGTATGGCTGCCGAGTGAGGTAGTGCCCAGGGATTGCAGCAAAAACACTTGAACTTCAGGCAGGCGACCTCGGTTCCAGATATAGTTCTAACACTAACCGCATACCCTTAGTAAACTTGCTTGAAAGTAACCAGTACAAACCTGCCTAGTCGTAAACCAGTTGCCATTAAGCTGATTTCAACTCACGGTGACCCCATATGTTTCCGAGCACAACTGCACTCCATACGGTTTTCAATAGCTATTTTTTCAGAAGTAGATTGCCAGGTCTTTCTTCCAAGGTGCCTCTTTGTGGAGTCAAAGGCACCTCTGGGTGGATTCAAACTGCCAACCTTTCAGTTAGTTGTTGTTAGGTGCCCACAATTCGATTCCAACTCATACTGACCCTACAGGACGGAGAACTGCCCCATAGGGTTTTCTAGGATATGACTTTTACTGGCGCAGATCGCCAAGTCTTTCTCCCCCGGAGCGGTTCCGTGGGTTCTGTCAACCTTTGGGTCAGCAGCCTAGTGCTTAACCATCGCACCACCATGGCTCCTTTTCCCTTGGTAGCAGAGTGCTAAAGTTGCCCAATATTCATCGGCCCCTTTCCTTCCCTTATTTGGAAATTATAAACACTAAAGAGAATAATGTAGGATAGAGCAGTGCCTGGAAAATATTAAGGCTCAGTATTATTACTGATTATTTTTATACTGCCAGTCTTTGAGAGGCTTCCTACGCGTCAGGTAAGCTGTTAAACAAATCAAGTTAGGTTTCCACTCTGGCCCAAGACTGCGCATGTGCGCCTCTGCTACACTGGCGCACCCGAGAGGTTTTCCCGCCAAGGTGCAAGCTCCACCCCCCTCGATGGCCCGCCCCTTAAAGCGCGAGCACGGCGGACGAAGCGCGCGCTCGTCTAGGCGTGACGTCAACCAGTGGGCAGGCTCTGGGATTGGGAGCGTTTGCTTCTGGGTCTAAGGGCACTCCACTTCCGGAGGAAGCTAGTGTTGCTGGTAGCATCCGGGCGTGAGGCGTGTTCTTTCGCTTCTTGGTCCGGTGGACTTAGCAGGTATGAAGATCACGAGGCAGAAACACGCCAAGAAACATCTCGGCTTCTTCCGCAACAATTTCGGAGTTCGCGAGCCGTACCAGATATTGCTAGACGGCACCTTCTGTCAGGCGGCGCTGCGGGGCCGCATCCAGCTGCGGGAGCAGCTGCCCCGCTACCTCATGGGGGAGACGCAGCTGTGTACCACCAGGTGGGTCTGGCCGGAGGAGGCACAGGGATCCAGGGCCGTGGTAGAGGTGAGGCCGCTGCTCACAGGCATTCCTTTGGCAAATATTGCGAGCCCAAACCAAACCCATTGGCATGAAGTTGATTCCGACTCAGCGACCCTATAGAACAGAGTAGAACTGCCCCATTGGGTTTCCAAGGCTGTAAATCTTTACAGAAGCAGACTCTCACATCTTTCTCCAGCTGCCACAACTTTCCCCGCTGAGCGGCTAAAGAGTTGGAACCGCCGACCTTTGTGTTAGTAGCCAAGCACTTAACCACTGCACCACCAGGACTTCTGGTATTGCCCGCTTAGGAGGTGCAAAACGCTAGCCCACGGGGAATTGACAATTACATGGAGGCATTGAGGAGGTCAGGCGGATATCTGCAATGTAGGCAGAAAGTACAATGTCCTGGTAATATTTACGTGCTCTTAGCTTGGCGAATAAGAAAACGTGATTTGTAGTCAAGATAGTCCTGGCTTCGAATCCTGGTCCCTCCTCCTGCTCTGTTATGTGGGGCAAGTTAATTTAACCTCTCTGAGCCTTGGATTTCTCATCGGTAAAATAGGGATAATAACTATTTCTGAGATTGCTGTAAGGATCAAACGAGGTATAGTGTATGTAGAGCATTTATTGGTATCCAGAACCTATTACTCCTTTTTAAATGGTTGCTCACAAGCCTCACAAATGGTCTGTGAGGTAGTATCTTGGATTCCCAGGTAAAGAAGTCAAGAGTCGAGATTTAAGAAGTTTGCCCAAGATCATTTATTTATTCAACGGTCTTTGTTAAGTACTAGCCATGTGCCAAGCACTGCTCCAGCTACTGAGGATAACTTGGTGAACAGGACAGACAAGCTCCCAACCCTCACGACCAGTAAAGTACATAAATCAACCTCCATTTGGTGTTTTTTGACTCCAGGTTTAATGTTCTCCAACTTCATCAAAGTGTAGAAATACTTAGATGGAACCTTGTAGGAATGGGAGGGAGGAAGGCTGGAATCACAGAAGGGTCCATAGAAAAGACAACATTTCAGCCCAGTCAGAGTTCAATCCTGAGAGGAAGGACTATTTTGAATGACAGAAAAGAGATAAAAGGCATTCCTTGTTGTGGGAACCTGTTAAACAAAGGAATGGAGTTGTGAAATGCCTGGGGAAGAGGTTAAAGCATAGAATATAGTTAGGAATGAAGCTGTGAAGAAAGTAAATTGAGATTAAATTATGAAGAACTACTTTAAGAAATTTAGTTTTTTTTTTTTTTTTATTGTAGAATATTTAAAGAAAAAAAAAGTTAAAGTGACTTATAATACCACTACTTAGGAGTAAAGAAGCCCTGGTAGCACAGTGGCTCAGCCGTTAACTAAAAGTTCGGTTGAACCCACCCAGAGGCACCACGGATTACAGCCTAGAACACCTTACAGGGCAGTTGTATTCTGTCACGTGGGGTCATTATGAGTTGAAATTGACTGGATGGCACCTAACAACACCCATGAATAACCACTGTTAACATGTGCTGTAACATCCATCCAGTTCTTTATACATTTGCGCACATACGCATTGAAGAATGGGCTCTTGCTGTGTATACAGTGTCATTGGCCTGCTTTTCTTGCTTAATGCTACTCCATGAACACCTTTCCGTATTTGATCAGAGCTTTCCAAGCAGTGTGCCTCAAGTAGGTTAAGACCTATCCTAAAATTTTTGATCCCCTCAGCCCTGAGGGCTTCTAGAAAGTCCTTAGAAGGCCTGTGTCCTGGAGTTGGTTGCTTATGGCTACAAGTAGCTTGTATTTTTACTCCTCTGTATCACAGAAATATTAACACTTTAAATGTAGTGCTGTGGTATAAAAAAGGTTGGAAAATACTGAATGAAATTATATTCTACACCATGTTTTTTTACCTAAAGAATTTATTCAGTTTAACTACTGGAATTTTTCAAACATACACAAAAGAATACCACACACACACCCCCACACACCTACACACACACAAAACCAAACCCGTTGCTGTCGGGTGGGTTCTGACTCATAGCAACTCTACAGGACAGTAGTATTGCCCCCATAGGGTGTCCAAGGAGCAGCTGGTGGATTCAATTGCTGTCTTTTTGGTTAGCAGCCAAGCTCTTAACCGTTGTGCCACCAGGGTTCCAAATAGTATAATGAAATGTCTACTCAGTTTTTACAGTTATCAGCATGGCCAATCTTGTTTCATCTTTTCCTTTACTGATGGGTTATTTTAAAGCATATTATTCTGTCACTTCTTTGGTATGTATTATGAAGAGATTAAAACAAACAAACAAACCCGTTGCCTTCTAGTCGATTCTGACTTATAGCAACCCTATAGGACAGAGTAGAACTGCCCCATAAGGTTTCCAAGCAGTAGCTGGTAGATTTGAACTGCTGACCTTTCGGTAGCAGCTGTAGCACTTAACCACCGTGCCACCATTGCCCCATGAAGGGATAAAGATGCCTTTTTTAAAAATCAGGACCCAAATAAGGTCGATTTGGTTTCTGTGCCTCAAGTCTTTTTACACTATTAACAGTTTCCTCTCCCCCAATTTTTTTTTTTTAAGTTTGCTTCTCACATTTTTAAGAAATCAGGTCGTTTTTTGTAGCATGTCCTGTGTTCAGTCTTTGACTGATTGCGTCTCCCTGAATTCATTTAGTAAGTTCCTTCATCTTCTCTATTTCTTTACTGAAGTCCCTGGGTGGTGTAAACAGTTAATGCTGCTAACCAAAAAGTTAGAGGTTCATATCCACCCAGAGGAGCCTTAGAAGAAAGGCCTAGTGATCTACTTCCAAAAAATCAACCACCCAGAACCCTATGGAGCACAGTTTTACTCTGACACACATGGGATCGCCATGAGTTGGAATCAACAGCAACTGGTTTACTGGTTATTTACTGATCAGTAGTAGTTAGATCTCGTCTATGTCAAGAAATTTAGAAGACAGCTTCCTGGCCAACCGACTGGAAGAGATCCATATTTGTGCCCATTCCAAAGAAAGATGATCCAACAGAATGCAGAAATTATCAAACAATACCATTAATACTACACACAAGTAAAATTTTGCTAAAGATAATTCGAAAGTGGTTGCAGCAGTTCATTGCCAGGGAACTGCCAGAAGTTCAAGGCAGATTCAGAAGAGGATGTGTAATGAGGGATGTCATTGCTGATGTCAGATGGATCTTGGCTGAAAGCAGAGAATACCAGAAAGATAATTTACCTGTGTTTTATTGACTGTCCAAAGGCAGTCAGTTGTGTGGATCATAACAAATTATGATTAACATTGTGAAGAATGAAAATTCCAGAACTCTTAATTGTGCTCATGAGGGACCTGTACATAGACCAAGAGGCAGTCGTTTGAACAGAACAAGAGGATACTGCGTGGTTTAAAGTCTGGAACGGTTTGTGTCAGGGTTATATCCTTTCACCATACTTAGTCTGTAAGCAGAGCAAATAATCTGAGAAGCTGGACTATGTGAAGAAGAATGTGGCATCAGGATTGGAGGAAGAAAGTGAAGAGGACTTGAAGCACTTACTGATGAAGATCAAAGACTACAGCCTTCAGCTTGGATTTCACCTCAACATAAAAACAAAAATCCTCACAATTGGACCAATATGCAACATCTTGATAAATGGAGAAAAGATTGAAGTTGTCAGGGACTTCATTTTCTTGAATTCACAATCAATGCCCATGGAAGCAGCAGTCAAGAGATCAAATGATGTGTTGGATTGGGCAAATCTGCTGCAAAAGACCTCTTTAAAGTGTTAAAAAGCAAAGATGTAACTTTGAGGACTAAGGTACCCTGACCCAAGCCATGGTATTTTCAGTCGTATCGTATGCATGTGAAAGCTAGCAGTGAATAAGGAAGACTGAAGAAGAATTAATGCCGTTGAATTATGATGTTGGGGAAGAATAGTGAATATACCATGGGCTGCTAGAAAAATAAACAAATCTGCCTTGGAAGAAGTACAGCCAGAATGCTGCTTAGAAGCAAGGATGGCAAGACTTCGTTTCATGTACTTTGGACATGTTAGCAGGAGGGACCAGTCCCTGGAGAAGGGCATCATGCTTGGTAAGGTGAAGGGTCAGTGAAAAAGAGGAAGACCCTCAATGAGATGGATTGACACAGTGGCTGCAACAGTGGGCTCAAGCATAGCAACGATTGTGAGGATGGTGCAGGACTGGGCAGTGTTTCATTCTGTTGTATATAGGGTCACTATGAGTCGGAACCAACTCCATGGCACCTAACAACAAGAAGTAGTTAGATCTAGAGGACTTAATCATATTCAGGTTTAAAGAAATTTGGAGTTTAAGGATGTAGAGTAGTGGAATTTTGTTTAGAAAAGATAACTGCGTTAATGTGAGGAATAAACTGGAGAAACAAGGAAGTAAAGACAGGTAAACCCGTTTTGTGCTGGTCCAGTCAAGAAATAACGGGCTCCTCAAGCTGGGAAAGAAAAAGGTAGGTATCCAAAGGTTCTACAAGGAGACATTACTGAAGGACTAACAGCTGATGGGGTGGGGGTAAGGGTGAGGAAGAAGAGGTGTCAAATATGATTTGAGATTACTATCCAGGGTATCTGTAAGGATAATATTTTCAAAGAGGGAACTCTAGAGGAGATGAAATTTAGACAGGAAAGCAGAAAGTTTGATTTTATACATCGTGAATTTGAAAAGCTGATGGCGGGACATCCGTAGGAAAATATTCAATAAGTAGTTGGAAATTTGAGCCTGAAACTCAAGGTAGAAGTCAAGACTGATAACCAGAGAAAGCAAAATCTCTCTTAAAAAATAGTAACGGGTGCTAGATACCGGGGGTGAGGCAAATTAAAATCTGGCTAGGTAGGGTTGAAGAAATCTTCTGAGTCAGTAGTTCTCGTAATATTTATTAGTGTAAGGGAGGAAATAACTGAGGAGCTTATTAAAATTTCTAGCTCCACAAGGGTGCAGATTTGAGGAGGAGACAGGAGCTAGAAATTAGTAGAATATCACCTTGTAATTCTGATGTGGGTAGTTGATAGATGCCACTTTGTGAAACATTGTCTTATATTAATATGAAAATATAAAATGAAAGGAAATTGTCCAGCTTGGAATTGGAGGGCTCAGGAGGGAGAGCCAGCAAGTGGTTAAGAAAGCTGACTATGAGATCAGAATGTCAGTGTTGAAATCCTATTCCACCGCATAACTGTGTGACTTAAGTTATATAACTGCCTTAGTCTTTAGAAAAAATTTTTTTAATAAAATGGGTATAATACCTGCCATAGGGTTATTGTGAGAATTGAATGTGTTAAAAGCACTTAATGAGTGTTCTGCAAAATTTTCATTCAGTCAAAAATATTTGTTGACACCTACTATGTGCCAGGCCTTGTGCACTGTTGTAATTGATGGTCCACAACACTATGATTTCTTTCTGAGCTACGCTGTTTTGCATTTATAGGATAGTCTTACCATTTCCAGCTCTTAACCTTTAAGATGAGCTTAGTCTTTGATTCTTTTCCATCCATCTATAGTTTAGGGCCTCAGATTAAAATGATGTATCATTTGTTTAAACTTGTCATGTTACTTAAATTCTCTCAGACTGAGGTATTCTAAAAGAGGGATACTTTTAAAGTAAGCTGTATAACTTCATAGCTTGTTTTGCCATTGAGAGGATTTATAAAGAGCACTTAGCATGCTGCCTGTTACATAGTAAGTGCTCATTAAATGTTGGCTATTATTCTTTCTACTTGGTGTGTGTATTTTCCAGGCCTTTTAATAGTGAAATGTCAAAATTAAAAGCTGATGTGTGGCTGCTATGTGACAAATTGAGATTGTAATGTTATGGTTTTACTTTTTTTAAAAAAAGTGAGTTGTTTGCTTGTTTTTACTTTATGTAAACAACTAAAGTGTATCTGCTATAACTGTGGGCCATTAATAACATTCCTCTCCCCCCAGGTGTGTGTTAAAGGAGTTGGAAACGTTGGGAAAGGACTTATATGGGGCAAAATTGATTGCACAAAAATGCCAAGTTCGAAATTGTCCCCATCTCAAGGATGCAGTGAGTGGATCAGAATGCCTGCTTTCCATGGTTGAAGAGGGAAATTCTCATCATTATTTTGTGGCAACACAGGTGATAATACTTTTAAAACCAAGAGTCAGTTTTAATCATTTCTCTTCATAGTTCATGAGAATTATTTATAGTCAGAAAAAGTAGATGGAAGTGATTTGTTAAAGTGTTTAGACTCTTTAAAATGTAGGCTTTTATATTAATTTGCAGTCAATAAAAAGAGTTGTCATTTGAGAATTTGAGGAGAGAACCTTAAGCATATTGATTTTCATCTTAGTACTGATGTTTGCATTCTTAAAATAAACTGTAGCTATAGAGGTGTGATGATGTTTTAGGGTTCTTAAAGGAAAGATAAGTAGAGGAAAGATTTTATATTCTATGTTTGTGAATTTCTTTTATGTTTCTATATTTCATACTATTTCTCAGAAAGGCATGGTTCATATCATTTAAGGTTTTGCCACCAAGCTGGAACTGTTTTAGGATTTTAAAGACTGGCAGGGAGGCAGAAGAATGTTGCTCAGAGTTGATATTAAGAAGTTCACATACATACAAATATGCTTGAATATACTTTCAGAATTATAAAATTACATAATTAATGGCAGAGTTGAATCAAGAATCCAAGGCAGCTAATTTTTACTTCATTTCTATTCCTTCAACCTCTTTAAACATTCTTGACCCTTTCTGAAGCGTATCTTAAGAGCAGAAGCAAAGGAAACCAGCTACATTGACTTTTGCGTTAGTTAGTAGTCCTAGAGTATTGATAAATCCAGTTCACGCTTCAACTGTACTCAATTTTTGTTTTTCTTTATCATAAGATTATCCCATCAGTGAGATATACTGATTTGACATATGAAACCTATCAGCTCTTTTATTTTTAACACAGCCCTCTTGAAGTTCTTAGAAACCTTCCTATTTTAAGGCACCTTAGTTTAATTGATACGGTTTAACTAAATATTTTTTCTTTTTAATAGGATCAAAATTTGTCTGTGAAAGTAAAGAAAAAGCCCGGAGTTCCTCTCATGTTTATTATTCAGAACACTATAGTCTTGGACAAACCTTCTCCCAGAACAATTGCCTTTGTTAAAGCAGTGGAGGCTGGTCAGCTTGTCTCCGGGCATGAGAAACAAAATATCAAACAACTCAAAGAAGAACAGGGTTTAGTACAAAACCCTGAACAGGGAAGAAGAAAGAAGCGCAAAAAAGTAAGTGGCCCCAATCCTCTTAGCTGTTTGAAGAAAAAGAAGAAAACACGGGACACAAAACCACCTTCTGCATCTGAAAAAAAAAGAAAAAGAAAAAGAATCCGGAACAGATCTACCTCAGAGGTACTTTCTGAAAAACAGAATGCAGAAGGATAATGGCTCCCTTGGATACTTTAAAAGACTTTTACATGTGAAAACATAAAAATTTATTTAAAATTGTGGAAGTACTTACAATAAACGACTAAACTTATTTTTGTAAATGGGCACAGACCCATAAGCCTCTGCCTAAAATTATCTGTAAAATAAAAAGAGTGAATGGGTTCAGGTGCGGTAGTGTTAACTTTCTTACCGAGTGGTTTTGGGATATTGTTTTTCAAGGTAAAACTATTATCTCTTCCCTTTCCCCCCAACAGAAAAATTATATGCAAACAGTTTTGAAGAAATCAAATAGTAATGAAAGGCTTGTTCCCCAAAAAGAGGGCAGTCCCTCTTTCATACTCACACAAGAAACCTCTTTCAACTCATAGCTATTCTCGAATTTATAGTTCTAATAACAGGAATATACTTCTCTCTATTGATCCTTCCATCATCTTTTGACTTCCTACTAGGAAAAATGGAAATATTTGCTTACTTACACTCCTCCGATTCTCTCAGTGTGTTAATATTTAAGTCTATACATCCTAAACTCAGTTTTTCATTATGACTATAAACATTGTTCACTGCTGAACCAGGTAGTATACTATGATTAAATTTATTTCTTACCCTACTTTATTACTCCTGAATTTAATACTGGCCTCATTTTAAGCATCTTAGCCTTGCCACATTCTTCGATAACTGAAGGATCTCACAATATAGTTTTTCCTATGGTCATAGCCATCAGATAATACAGGTCATTTTTCACCCTGGAGATAATTCTAGAGCCTCTGACATCCTCCAATACAGAAAGGTTTTGTAGCTAAATTGGTCTAAGGGTCAATTAAGAATTGAATAATCAAACTTGTTTTCAGCTGCTGCTTTTAATCATCAGGCCAAAATTAAAATGTTTTTGCACTGTTAAGACTGAAATATAAAGTTGTTTCAAAAGTGAAATCTCTGATCAGTAGCTCCTGATTGAAGCTTCCATGACATCTTAGAGCAGTGGTTCGTAATCTATCATAGCGTCGTTACGAAGCGCATCATGAATAAGTTCTTACGACTTTTCTTAAATGTGAGACAATTCAAATTTATTCCTACAGAAATACCATGCTCTGTTGAATTCAGAGGTGCTTCTTTGATAGAAAGTGGAATGATAGCTTTAACTACAATGGGGAATAACAGACTGTATTATCTGGCAAGCCTGAGTGGTGTTTGTAATTTCATGATTCCGTTTTAAGTTCTTAACAGTAGGAACATTTTTAATAAAAGCTATTGAAAAAAGTGTGACTAATCCATCTGTAATTCCCATGAGTGAGGATAACGTTTGTTAATAAGCACAGGTTAGTTACCAAATCAAATGTAGACAGCAATGAAGCAGGTGGAATGTACCCCGATGGTATTCATTTTAACATTTTGAAATGCATAAATTTTAGTCAAAATTACAATGTATTAGAAAGTATACTATTTTAAATCCTAAAACTGATTTGCCATTTGCTTTTTGTTAGGTTATTTTAAAAGATTTTCAAAGAAAACAATCTCACCATATCCTTGTACAATTCTCTTGTGAATATTACCCTTACACCTCCTCTCCCAAATCTACTTCAATCCCTAGTACTATTTGCTAGTCGGAAAAATGTTTCTGAAGACTATTTTATGAACGCTTCAAAGTAAAATGTTTGAAGTTGAGCATGAGTAGGATTCTGTATTCTCTACGTCTTCAGCTCCATAGCCACTTCTCATCCCTACGTGTATGTAAATTAAGACTAGAAGTGATTTCAGAACTACAGGCAGTCCCTGGGATATTCGAAGTTGCCCTTTAACATTATGTAAATTTGCCCTCACTTTGAAACAATTTAACCAACACCTACTCCAACAAAATCATCATCCCATTCACTTTCACTTGCTGCAGGTGCGGCTTTTAAATCGATCTTCGGAACCCAGGGACCGCCTGTACTGAGTTTCAGCAATAGAAAGAGTTCTCCTTTCTATGGCTTGACAGATTTAATTAATAGTTTTTTTATGAGTGAGTAGAATGAATCGTTAGAATTTGAATTCTTTAAAATGTTTTAAAAACATGTCACTTAATTGTACCTTAACTTTTCTTTAGTATTCTCAGTTTAGGTGTAAATGAAAAAAAACACTAATTTAGGAGAGATCATAATGCTCTCTATAGATGTATAAATGAATGTGTGTGTGTGTATGAAGATATATATTTACTAATGGGAATAAAATCAGAAGATTAGGTGCCTGGACTGAGCTTAGGAACTGATTTCTCATGATCGTAGGTCAATGGTTTCTGAACATTTAGTCTCACAACCTTACCAGTAAAAAAAAGTATGTATACTTATATGTTTATAAGCTATATAGATTTACTACTGTACATTATAAAATATGCACAGAAAAAAACCCAAAATTTGAAAGAATAATAAATTTGTTTTTTTTTTTGTCATTAGATGGCTTCATTGGGCTATTAGCTAATATTTCAAAGCATAACAAGTTTTATCAATAATATTGGATATGAATCTACTTCTAGTAGTTTTTGTAATTTTTGGTGAGAAATAGTGTGTACTATGAGTAGGATGTATCAATACATATTCACGGAATGAATTAAAATCAGGTCAGATCGGGTAACCAAAAACCTAACGAGTCAGCTCAGAGAAGAGTCATGGCCTTTCATCCAGTTTCCAGACCTAAACCAGTTTTCAGACTCAGAGCCCCTTAATTTAAGGAGTGACTGGGTTCTCTTGAAGAACTCTGAAGCATTGCTGCAGGTATCTACTGTAGATCTTCCACTAAGCCTGTGCCAAAGGGACCTGTGACTGTTTTCTAAAGTGAACGTGCACTGGCAAATAAAAATACTTGGACCTTTTGGGGATTATAGATACTGGTTCTGAATTGATACTAATCGCTAGGGACCCAAAATGCCATTGGTCCACCAGTCAAAGTGGGGCTTTATAGTGTTCAAGTGACAAATCGAGTCTTAGCCCAAGTATGAATCACAGTGCACTCAGTAGGTCCATGAACCCACCCTAGGTTTTCCTCCTGGTTTCAGAATATATAATCGTTAAAGACATACTTGGAAACTGGCTGTATCCCAATGTTGTTTGATTCTCTTTTAGGGACAAAGGGTCATTAGTGTAGGAAGGGCCAAATGGGAGCCATTGGAACATCTCCTCCCTACCAAGATAGTAAATCAAAAGCAATTGCATATCATTAGAGGAATTGCAGTATATTATTACTACCATCATCAAATACTTGAACAATCATAGGTGTTGAGTCCTATTACATCTCCATTTAATTCATCTGTTTGGCCTGTGCAGAAGGTGGATGGATCTTGAAGAATGGTTGGAATATTCTAAAGTGAATCATGGGAGGACTCATTTGCAGCAGCTCTTCCAGAGTTAGTATCTTTGCCGGAACAAATCAACACAGCCCCTGGCACATGATATGCAGCTACTGACTGAAAATGCTTTTTTTCCTCGATTTGCTAGGACTACAAGAGCAGTTTGCTTTTCCCTGGCAATATTAACAGTACACTTTCACAATCTTGCTTCATGCTTATGTCAGCTCACCTGCTCTCAGACATCATATAATCTACAGAGATCTTGGATCATCTTGACATTCCACACAACCTTACATTGGTCCACTATATTGATGCTATTATGCAAACCGGATCTGATAAGCAGGAGGTAGCAAGAACTATAGATGCCTTAGTAAGGTATGCATAAACCAAAGGTTGGGAGATAAACCCTGTGAAAAGTCAGGGAACCATCTCCTCAGTAAGTTTCTGGGGTTTAATGGTCTGGAGCATGTCAAAATAACCTCTTAAAGATGAAAGACATGTTGCTGCACTGCCATCACCTACCACTCACAATAATGCACAAAAGTTTGGTGGGCCATTTTGAGTTTTGGAGGCAACACATGCCACATTTGAGTTTGCTGCTTTGACCCAATTACCAAGTAACCCACAAGGCTGACCATTCTGAATGGGGACTAGAGCAAAAGAAGGCTCTGTAGCAACCTAGGTTGCATCTTTTTTTGTTTGGACTACCAGATCTGGTGATACTTGAAGTGCGTGTAGCAATATGGAGCCTCTGGCAAATATAATTTTTTAAAAAATCATGGCACAGATCTCTGAAGTTTTGGAAAAAATCCATATCCTCTTCTGAAGATAATGATTATTTTTTTGAAAAACACCTACAAGCTTGCTGTTGGGCCCTGGTGGAGGCTGAACACCTAACCATGGACATCAAGTGACCAGGTAACCTGGACTTCCTATAATTAACTGGATATTTTCTCATCCATTAAGCCATAACCTAGGGCATGTGTGTCAAGTGGAAATGGTATACAATAGATCAAATTTAAGCAGGCCTGCAATATACAAGTAAAGTACTTCAGCTAGTGGCACAAACTCTTTTTGACACATTGAAGCAGGGACTCAAAAAGACACATGTACAGCAGTGTCCACTGCATCATTACAATAACCAAAAGGCAAGAATAAACCAGATGTCCATAAATAGATGAATGGATAAACAAAATGTGGTACATATGTACACTGGACTATTAGTCAGCTATAAAAAGGAATGAAGTTTTAGTACATGCTATGACTTGTATGAACCTTGAAAACATTATGCTAGGTGAAATAAGCCAGACACAAAAGGGCAAATATTGTATGAGCTCATTTATATGGAATATCTAGAATAGACAAATACATAGAGACAGAAAGTAGATTAATGATTACCAGGGGCTAGGGGCAAGTCGGGGGTGGGAAGTTATAGATTAATGGGTACAGAGTTTCTATCTGGGGTGATGAAAAGATTTTGGAAACAAATAATTGTGATGGTTGCATAACATTTTGAGCGTGATTAATGAATTTTACAATTTAAAACTGTTAAAGTGGCAACTTGTATGTTATGTATATTTTAACACACACGCACACACCTCTTTTGACACCAGCCCCTGTTGTATTGCCTCCTCTCTCTCAGTTCACACCTATAAACTCATGAAGATTGTCTATGATCAGTTGACTGAAGAAGAAAAAATTTGAGCCTAGTTTACAGATGTTTCTACACTATATGCCGCCAGCAACCAAAAGTGAATAGCTGCAACATTACAACCCCATTCACAGACAGTCCAGATAGATAGCAATGAAGGGAAATCTTCCTACTGGCAGAACTTTGAACAATACATTTGGTTGTCCACTTTGAATTGAAAGATGGGAAGAAGTATAGATCTGCACTGATTTATAGGCAGTTGCTATAGGGTCACTGTGAGTCGGAATCAACTTGACGGCAATGGGTTTTTGGTTTTGGTAATGGTTAGGGACTTGGAAAGAACATTAAAAAAATGGTGAGAAAGTTGTCTGGTAAAGAGGTATGTGGGTGATCTTTCATAATGGGCGCAGAGTGTGAAGATATTTGTGTTCCATGTGAATGCCCACCAATATGCATTCACTGCAGAAGAGGCTGTCAATAATCAGGTGAAAAAGAGGCACATTCTATAAATGTCAGTCAGCCTCTTTCCCTATCCTCTTGAGGGCCCATGAGGATAGGTGTGAATTGAGAGGGAGGAGGCAATACACAGGGGCTGGTGTCAAAAGAGTAGTGTGTGTGTGTGTGTGTGTGTGTGTGTGTGTGTGTGTGTGTGTGAAAATATACATAACATTTCCCATTTTAACCATTTTCAAGTGTAAAATTTGTTAATCACACTCAAAATGTTATGCAACCATCACAATTATTTGTTTCCAAAATCTTTCTCAGTGGGCCCATGATTATAGTGGTTACGATGGTAAGAAAGGAGACCAGGCATAGGCTCCAACAACATAGCTGACTTAACTACCACTACTGCTGAGTGCCTAACATGCCAACAGCAGATACCAGCACTGGGGTAGGATGGGGGCTCAACCAGCCAGCCCCCCGGTGGCAGGTTGATACATTGGACCTCTCCATAACAGAGGTGGTAGGACTTTATCCTCAGTGGAACAGAACTTATTCTGTATATGAATTTATCTTCCCTACCCATAATCTCTCTGCCAGCTTCACTATCCATGGGCTTACAGAATGCCTTACAGTATTTGCTATCATGGTATTCCACACATTGTTTCTGCTCAAGGAACTCTTGGAATTAAATGGTCTTGCTGTATATGTCATCAGTTACAGTACTCTGAGAAGATGGAGGTTCAATCTTATAGGATGCAGTATAAGCTTTAAACCAGAGACCAATATGTGGTATGCTCTCTTGCATAGCTAGAATATATGGGTCCAGGAATTAAGGGGTAGAAGTGATAGAGATTCCTCCCAGTATTACGTCTTATAACCTGTTTAGAAAATTTTTGCTTCCTGTACCTCACAACTTTGAGTTTTGCTGGTTTGGAGGTCTTGGTTCCCAAAGGAGAAATGTTTTTACCAGCGATATAACTATAGCTAGACTGATTGAGAAAATGACAGTGACACTAGGATACTTGGGGCTTCTTAAGCTTCTGAATTAACAGGCAAAGAAGGAGGTTACTCTACTGGCTGGAATGATTGCTCCTTATTAGCAAGAGTAAATTGGATTGTTGCTACAGGATGAGAGTAGGAAGGACTACTTCTGGAATCTAGGAGAGGCTCTAGAATGCC